CCTTCCCTTTTCCAGGAAGATAAAAGGTGGAAACTTCAGCATGTTGCTTTAAAGTTTCATTAGACTCTGTTGTGAGAATAAGAATAAAAACAAAAAGAATACTGACCACCAAACATTTAAACTGTAAGAAACAATAAAAAATGTCTCATATTTACACACATTTATATTTGGGGGGGGATACTGCCATTTTTTCTATACTAAACAATATGTTTGAAAAATCTGATTAAGAAAAAATAAGTCAGACAGGAAGATTGCTAAATTTGATATTAATAAGCCTGCAATGATGTCAGTACGAAGCCATCAAGTTGTGTGACTTTACCATGCTGGGAGACTCAAACTGTAATTTTTTTTTCATTCATAATATATTTCAGAGTGTGAGCTGCAGGTTTATGTAATATTAACTCATATTTTTTAAAGGTTGGTATCATTAAATTCATTTACACAACTGCTGCAATTTCATTTCTGATTGAATCTCAAAGGGTTAACTGAGGTGGCTGTTGCCTGTAAATGCCAATGTCTCATACTTAAAGCATACTGAAATCTTACCTTAACACCTAAACCAAAAACAAAATAAGTGCTAAAATGCAAACCTTTTGGCACCCTGTTGAACTACTTCTAAACCCTGCTAAACCACTTTTACAGACTAACCAAAACAAAGCTGGTTGGCAGGACACAGTTTTCAGTTTGACACCTTATTAACCTATATAGTGATCATGAGGTCAGATTTGTTCCCATGACATACATGCAGCAGAGGGCAACATGAAACATTAGAATGTCACAAAGAACAAGGCGCCCAACGTTAATCTTCCTGCAGAGCGACTCAAAGGTCAAAAATCTCAACCATTGTGCCACAGATGTGACCAGCTTTCATCTACACTCTGATTGCTGCAGTTTATATATAAATAGCCTAACCACTTCAATCTTGGTCTGTTGTGTCATTCCTCAGAGGAGACACTGCCATTCCAATAAGATGAACAGCCAAAGCCAGAGGCTTCCAGACACTGGAAACACAATGCAGTGCTGTAAGATTCTCCTAGCATTATTCACTACATGCTAAAGACGAAGCAGAAACGTACCTGTGTGGTTGAACACCACATCTGTGATGCAAAGCATGTTCCACTCTTTCTTAATTTTTTCCGTCAGGTTGCCCACATCCATCCAGGTGTTATTCTTGCCAGGTGGGGAGAAATCAGGGTTCAGCTCCAGCTGATCAGCTATGGAGTAGCATGACCGTGATGCGCCTAGTTTCTGAAGAGGCGTGAAATGGATCATATTGTAACCTGAACATAAAAAAACATATATAAATAATTCCATCTTCTTCAGATAAATGGAGTTTTTTTGTACATTGCATGTGTAAATTTGGACAAAATAGCTTGTTACTTGGTGTTTGCCTTAGCCAACACCACTAATTATTAAAAAACTGAGTTTGTTTGCAGCTGAAAGGCAAATTAATATCAATTTCATTTTGTCAAATTAGAAGATGCTTGTCCAGACCGCTAAAAAACACAGGCACATATGGCCTGCGTGCTAATACTGAATTTACATGACTCTGAACATCTGTAATAACCCACAGACGGTCAAAGTGAATGAAGTGCAACCTGGTTTTATGTGGAGCATGACTTTGTCTTATATATTACACTCCATAAACCCCAATAGGGAGTAAATTAGTATATGTTTGTCATACATGAGTTTTCAACACTTAGTGATTCATACCAGTTTCCTTGGCCACTCTGAGTCTGTCTAGCCATTCATCCAGAGGGCCCAAACACTTAGCAAGGTAAGTCTGAACTGTAATGCAATCGAGAGGCAGGATCTTCCTCTCATGGCCAATACGCAACACTGGATCCACAACAATGAAGCCACCTCCGGTTCTTTCCTCATGCCTGCATACACAGTAGGGTAACACCTTTTTTTCTTGGAAGGCAATTAGATGCTGTCCAAATTTCCAGAAGTAAAAACAATAATACAATTCACTCACCCACACCCAAAGTAATACTGATAAGAGCCTGCTATCTCCAGGTCCAGTTTGCAGTATTTGTCTGAATCATCCTCTCTGCCGCTGGGGTTCACCCACTCCAGCTGACGGAAGCTGGAGCTGACAAACTTCTTGCCCGGTGCTGGGTAGTTGGTGTGCACATGCACACTCTTACCCTGCAGGGTCGGGCCCAGGTGGAACTGAAGCTCAAAACCTAAGTGAACTGAAATGTGAATCACATGAGAAAACAGCAGGGGGTGTTGCAAATCCAACAACCCTGTAAGTCTGAAACTTTAGATTAAATAGTGCATTATCAGTCAAGATCATAAATTATTGTGTTCAATAACTTATGCTGCAGTCCTTAGTAACTTTCTTTTTTTTTAATAAAAGGGCTTAAATATGTACTTTTCAGGTACTGTGTAATTCATGTTTTATTTCATGTTTAAGATTTATTTGCAGTTAAATATTTTCTTCATTTCTCCTTTAAAGACATTGGTTATAAAAACCATGATGTTGCTTTTGCATATTTTGTTTTGGGATACAGTTTGAAAATATGTGTCTAATGCATGGTATTTTAATGCATATTTAGAGACATACAGAGCAAAAAGACAGTGCTAAAATGTGGAAATTGTAGGACATTTATGTTGTACAACAAAAATCTCTTCAAGTAGACTTACTCATTACTCATAAATCTAAGATATTTAATCTATTTTACAAACCCATAAAAATTCCAGAGGAAACCCATGGTTTAAATAAGCAGTATGCTGGTATTCTATTTCATATACAGCAACAAACTGACCTTAGCATAATATAGTAAACTGTATTTACATTATCTGCACTCCAAAACGTATAAGCACCACAGAAAATGGCACAGAACACCAGTGCATTCCTCCGCTATATATAGCAAACAGCTTTTTGAATGTGATATTCGGTGCTCATGCACCACGAGTAACACGTAAATCTATCCAAAGCTTCTCCAGGGGTCCAAAGTGTTGAGTTGCAGAGAGTAATAAAGTACGAGAAATAAGAGGGGAAGAATAAATGATGCATTAACACCAGCATTAAAAATGTTACAATAAATATATAAAAGAATAAAATAAACATCATGATAGCATAGATGATGACGGCATAGCATTTGCAATGCACAACTGACTATAAGAAAGGAGCTGTAACAATAAGACCTACCTTGCTCCAGGCGAAACAGAGTGCACTCCAGCCTCTCCATGTCATTCAAGAGAAGCACTCTGGTCTGTTTGCCACGGAACATGTTGGCGGAGCTTTTTTGGGATGCCCTTTAAACACAGGAGAAGTTACCTCTGGATCCCCAAGAGCGCAGGCTGCCATATGATAACAACGAACAACATGTGAACAATCTGCTGCAATTGATACAGGCTAGTGGGCGATTTGCACGTTTCACAGATTCACAGTTTCTTAACTAATGTTTGCATAACAATCTGACCTACTGACCTAACCTGACACAACAGCACAGGGATAGATAGATAGATAGATAGATAGATAGATAGACAGACAGACAGACAGACAGCCAGACAGACAGACAGACAGACAGACAGACAGACAGATAGATAGATAGATAGATAGATAGATAGATAGATAGATAGATTTGTTGAACACTTTACACTGCACACAAATTTATAAACATTTAAAAGCTAAATTGTAGGTACTGTTACAACACTTAATTAACATACTGAAGAGACATTAAAGCAACCAAAAAAAAGACTTATATTGACACCCGAATGCTCTTATTGGGATTTTGTCCAATTGATAGTACTTGACAAGCATGTCATGCATTAGTCTGTAAAGTAACTATTAAAATGATGTGCCATAACTTAAATTAGTTCTTGCAAGTTTAATTACCAGCAACACCCGACAGACTCGCTCACCGAGGTATCACCCAATGTTGGCCATAGAGCAGACCTTATGCGTCTAATAAGATTATGCATCTGAGGTGACATGACCTTTCAGTGACCCTAAATATAGCTAGCACCTTTGGAGTAACATCTCACTGGTTACATCAGGAAAAGTCTGAGGAACATTCGCTGACCATGCAGCACCGGTGTGTTATGTAATATATTATTATTATTATTATCAGTAATGGATATTTTATAGCGAATTATTCATTATCATATATTATTACTAGTGTATTTCAGCAAAATAACACATAAGCACAAGCTAACAACAGCCTGAATACCAACACGACTTGGGTAATCACGGCCATGCTGATTATTTAGTATTATAGGACGCTTGTTCGTGTGATATTGCTTAAATTATTAGAATTATTATACTGTGGCCTTCAGACAAAACGCTCCTCTGCCTAGCTCCATTCAATTCCGCTCTGCGTCGCGACGCAAGCACAGTACACATATTGGAACGCCCCTAGGCCAACCAAATTTAAGGATTAAATCTAATTACAAACTTTGTTTTTTTACAGATAACATTTTTTTTATTTGTTACAAATACCAAGTAATAAAAAAATCTAATAATGATAATAAATGCCCCTAGACCATTCAAACTTAATATTTAATAATAATCGTTTTAAATATTTTTAATTGTTTGACTTGACTCTGTAATTCTGCTAACTATAAACTTCTACTTCCGATCCTCAAACGCTTTTGGACCAGGGGCGTTTATTATTATTACTTTTTACTCTTGCTACGTATATATATATATTTGGTAATGAAAGCTGAATTTCTGAGATGGTCCTCACTGCAGAACACAAGATCCAGGGGGCGTGGTTGGATCAAGATCAAACTCCTCCCACCTTACATATACCTAAACCTACCCGTCTCCACCCCCTGATCCCTAAACCTACCCATCTCCACCCCCTAGATGTGGATCCAACCCCGCCCCCTGGATCTTTGTTCTGCAGAGAGGGGCTACTGAAATTTTTAGTGGAGCTAGATTGTATCCAGTTAGTATCGGTTGTCATTTATTTTAGCCCCACCCACACGTCTGTGGGAGAATCTTTGCGCAAGGCATTCAACCAATCACTCGCCATCCTGCAAAGAGACCGCCCATATCGTATCGCGTGCCATATGCAACTAAAGTACAACTGTGTGTTTTCGTTTTCTGTAATGGTGCGATGGTAATTTATTTTAAATGAATGGAGGTAAGCATATGTATTATTATTATTATGTTTATTGTGCTTGTCTGTCTGTTTGGCCTGCTTGTTTTTGTTTTGTTTGTTTTTTTACACATGCGCAGACGTCTTCTCAAATAGGAAGTAGCTGCTGCTACAGTATCAGTGTAAAGGTGAAAGTCGCTGCTAGTTGTGTACAGTTGATGCTTGTTTATATGGAAGCGGTAGTATTTCCCCACTTTGCTTCCATTAACACTTTTATTCTTATCTATCTGTATCAGTTTATGTCATCAGTCTAACGCACGAGGCAGAAACATGACCTTGACCCATATATCTCACTTTACATTAACTAAAGACACCAGTCTACAGTATGTAATCAAAACTTCAACTTGAATTTGTGGCTTCTGCATTAATTTGTATGTATAGATCAGATCAGTGACTATGAGTGTTGAAACTCTTCAGTGAGTCTTCTAGTACTGTTCTGGAGTCAGTAACAGTTGCAGTCCCCTCCTTATCTTTATTTGCAGATTTCTCAGAAAAAGATGATTAGACAACAAGCATTTAAAAAAAGTAATACATAGTTGATTGTATGTATTTTCCATCAATTAATCATTGACATGAAGTTATTAATATGTTTTTTGGATATGTAATGTTACTAGCATGTTACTACCAATTACCCATGTTACTACCACCTGTTTCAGCAACATATTGATTGCTTTTCAAATGATCAATGGCTTTGCAATAAATATCGATTCGTTTCAGGTTCTCATGAAAATGTGGATTGTATTGCTGCTGCTCTCAGTATTTTCAGAGACAGTCATTTGCTACAGTCATGGAAAAGTTGAAGTGGCTTGTGGGGACATGACACCCCAACATGGCCATGATCCCAGCACCAAAAATCCACCATTTAACATCATAGCAGACAAATCCCAACTCAGCCCTGGAGACGAAATCAAAGGTATACTGTAGCAGTATTTTGATACTTGTTATATGTGACCCTGGACCACAAAACCAGTCTTAGGTCGCTTGGGTATATTTTTAGCAATAGCCAAAAATACATTGTATGGGTCAAAATTATCAATTTTTATTTATGCCAAAAATCATTAGAATATTAAGTAAAGATCATGTTCCATGAAGATATTTTGTAAATTTCTTAACGTAAATATATCAAAACTTAATTTTTGATTAGTAATATGCATTGCTAAGAACTTCATTTGGACAACTTTAAAGGCGATTTTCTCAATATTTAGATTTTTTTTGCACCCTCAGATTCCAGATTTTCAAATAGTTGTATCTCATCCAAATATTGTCATATCCTAACAAACCTTACATCAATGTAAAGCTAATTTATTTAAGGCTTTTAAAATATTGCAAATGTATATTTAATAATGTATCATATGTTGTTCATATTTACAGTGACATTATCAATGGCGTCTTCAGAGGGCAAACATTACTTCAAAGGATTCCTTATAGAAGCAAGAAATGCTGGGAATCTCAGTGAAAAAGTTGGATCATTTAAGTTAATCAGTCCTGGAATATCTCAGCTTCTTACGTGCGACAGTAAAGAGGTCAGTGATTGTAGCATCCTTTTATTGAGAACAAAATATTGAATACGTAAATAAAATAGGAAATTGTATGAACACCCATTTTCATCAGATAAACATAATTTTCAATATTCACAGGGCTCTGCTGTGAGTCACACCGATAAATCCCAGAAGACTGAGGTCCAGGTGATCTGGGTAGCACCATCTAACTCTCCTTCCAGTGTGCAGTTTCTGTAAGTATTCAAATGCTGTTTTTACCCACCTTGTTAGTTATGAAACTTGATGTACTTTTTTCTTTGCTTTCAGGGTAACTGTTGCCCAAGGCTATAAAGAATACTGGGTGAAGAGTCCAGGTCCCGTAGTGTCCCAAAATGGTGTCGCTCCTCCACCACAAACTACCTTTGGTGGGTCCATTGGTGCCCAAACCACAACTTCCTCAACACTGTCACGTTCGGTGGGTCAAACAATGCTAAAGTTACTGGAATGACAGTTTACACACTGTCATGAGTTTGTGACCCTTTCAGCCTCAAAATAATTGGAATATCTAAATAATACTAATAAATAATAATAATATTCTCATCTGCTCTTCAGTTCACCTCTGAGGGCTGTGGAAGCAAGAAGTCCTGTCTGAGAGATCCAGATGGCTGTGACCCACAAAACGACATTGCGTGTCACTTCCTGTCCTTTAGGGCATTGGGAAGTAGTGTGATGTTTGAGCTCAGTGGACCTGCAGAGGGTTACGTGTCCTTTGCCTTATCACAGGACAAATGGATGGTAATATACACAGATGCTTATAATAATTTCTTTATTGTGTATAACATATATTACTTTGACCTTTTGTATCATGACAAGCACTATGTTCTCTTATGTATATAATAGAATAAAATTAACTGAAATACAATAAAATGTGAAAAAACTTGCACTTGAAGTACTAAAATAACTAAAACTAAACTGAAAAAAAAAAAAAAAACTTTAT